AAATTGTATACTTGGGGAGTGCTTTTAGCCGGGATGGAAGATGTGATTTAGATGTGGACAGGCGTGTCGCTGCCGGGAACAAAGTCAATGGTGCCCTGACTGCGTTAGTCAAAAGGCAAAGCGTAGCGAAGAGTGCACGCCTTGCAATACATAACGCAGTGTTGGTACCGACTTTGTTATATGGCAGCGAAACCTGGGTATGCCAGAAGAAGCATAAAAGTAAGTTGAATGCAGTGGAGATGCGATCTCTTCGTAAAATGTGCGGCGTTACTATGGCCGACCGAAAGCGAAACGAAGAGATTCGCAATATGGCAGGTTTGAAAGATGACCTTATCACAAAAATTGATAAGGGCGTGCTTCGGTGGTTTGGGCACGTTGAGCGAATGAGTGAAGACCGAATGGTGAAGAAAATATATAGCGCGAAAGTTAATATTAAAAGGTATCGAGGTAGACCGAGACTAACTTTCGAAGACCATGTGAGCAAATTGCTCGAAGAGGGTAGGGTCAAGAGTACTCGGATACCTAGACGTGCATGCATGAAGAAGATAATGAATCTGAAAGAAGCGAAAGAGGTTTGTAAGGATCGTGACACTTGGCGATCTGTTCTCTCTGGCTACCCCGTCATGGATTGTGCGTGAAGATAAGTAAGTAAGTAAGTTTATTTAATTTTTACTTAACTAATAATTATTATTTTATATTAATAATACTATGATTTGGGATTATAATATGGGATCAGGGATCTCCATCACAGTAATATTGTACAGTAAATAAATTTGGTATACAAGCAAAAATAATCACCTTCCCACTACTCTGTCAATATAATTTTTTATTGTGTGCGTTATAACTTTTTAACTATGATCACAATTATATAAATAATGTAAAAAACTTGTGTAAGCACTTATCACATTCAGGACATTGCTTGAAACAAGTTGCAAGTTAGCTACCTGCATACTTGACTCTTTGTTTGACTGTACCTAACACAAGAAATCTGTAGCAGAGTATGCACTGCGTAAGTACATATTCGGTGAAGCCTGATGAAGCAGCTCAAGCGAAACTTAAGGGATAGCAATCCAAATCTAATTTGACAACCCAACAATATCCATTGCTTCATGTGATTGAAAAATTCGTTAGCTCGACAACAAAAACAATGCATTGGATATTTTTGAACTGTCAAATTGGTACGGTTTGTCATTTTAGTGTGTTACACAGTTAGGCTACGGATTTAATTTCTATCTACACAAAAGCCATAAAACTGTCAGACACATTATTTATTCCTCGGATAAGTTATGTGATATGTGTGATATGTATAAATACGGAATAAAGTAAATAAAGCAACAATTTCAATATATGAAATGAGAACAAATTCATTTTAGTAAAAATATCGATATCAGCTGCCCATATTGCTGAGTCACAACCTTGATAAAAGGCGGTCATTTTATGCGCCAGTGTATTGTAGGTAGTCACGCCAATTCTGTAGGTATGCCCCACGGAAGTATAGTTTGTACGAAGTACATATATTTCCATGGTATGCCCAGTCCATATACTTCTGAGTCAGTGGTTTCAGCATTGTTTGTCAAAAATTAAATGATGTCATTTTGCTGATGTTGGTAGAGTAACTTGGCACCCTTCATTAAGGCCAGTCACAAACATACGGATTTCCATTTCGGGATGCCGTTCCGAAATTTTGTATTGGAATTCCGAATTTAAAAAATATCTCTGGATAGATAGATCTTATTACATAATATTGACTTTATATTGCAATTTTAGAGTGAAAAGGGGAAGCAGAGATACAGCAACAATAGAATCGCAATCAAAAAATCGTAGTCATTATTTGCTGGCACCTGGCAGTATGTCCTGGAGTTATACTCAATGGCTAGCGTCTCTGAATTGAGTCTTGTTATTTCGAACGGAAATAAAAGTATTTGTGTATTCGGCGGGCCTTACTTTTACTAAGGTAGTCCCGCCTCTTAAACGTAGTGATTATATTCTCTTTGGATTAGAAAAATTTACGTCTATTTTGCTCTTTCTAGCATATGAATTATTATATTTTTATCTCATTCTTCTGAGAACAATGTGTAGGCATGTCAATTCACTTTGAAAAAAATCGATCTCTGAATCGATTCGAATCGAACATACTAGAATCGATTATCGATTAAATCGAGCATTAAAAGATCGATTTTCGATTAATCACGACATTTTCAAACATTAAGTATCCAGAACTTGCGATTTTTTTCTTAAATAGAACTTTTATAATTACATTTTACGTTTTATAATTATGCATTTATTGCAGTTCATTGTATCTACAGTATATAAATTGTAAGGCGCTAATAAAATATGTAAATAAGGATTTGAGGAGCCAAAATAAACATCTGTTGGGTTTGGATAAAACTATTATATTATGATCACCAATATTTAAGAGGGAGTTCTTCTGTTTTGGAGCTAAAAGATTTTAACACTATAAGATAACCACCACGTGTTCTTTAGTGGTTTATGTATAAACAAATAGGCTGAATCCGTTACGTGAAAAATAGCTCTTCATGTTGTGTCAATGTGTTGGTCTTCTACATCAGTATTTTACTAGATGGTAGGATTCCTTTCTGATTATTAGTCCGGTACGATCCTCTAACCAATTTCATTGGACAAGCTGCAGTGCATGCACTGCTGTGTTCTGGTCTGATTAGAGAGCCAATATGATTACAGGCTGTGAGGCATTCCATCTTAGATGACAACGTATATGTAGCCTTCTTTGTTTGATGTTGTTGAAATTCACATCAGACTAGGCTGTATGGTTTCAGAACTTTGCCTGCCTTAATTGTCGAATCGTAAAAACTACAACTAGACAATTTAGTAGAGATGAGTCCTACTAGGTAAATTATTTACTAGGTGCACTTAGTCCAATTCCGTACAAATACTCGATCCAAATACCTGTTCCACCTAGTCCATGAAGTACGCATAAAGTTTGGTATTATTGGAATAGCATACACTTTAAAGTACGCTTAGTCTTTACGTACAGCCGATCCCGATACGTGAAGGTAGTGAATAGTAATCAATCGTCTATTCATACTTTACGCAGGCTTATAACGGGTCAACGTTAAGATTTATCTACATTCTAGATTGTTGGCAAAAGTAATCTGACTTTTGTCTTTTTCTCGTTAATTTTTTTATATTTTTGTTTCGTATTTTAATTAACTACCTACAATTATTGTTTTTTGACATACCCGCGAAAAATCCGTCTTAAGAGCTTTTAAAACTAAATTATATTTTACAAATGTTACACTTAGGCATTTGTCCGTAAAATGATCCCAAGCGACGCTGCTGCAACTTTTTTAACAATAAACACTTTAATATCTAATAAAAAAAGTGAAAATTCCTTAACCACATAACAAAACTTCGTTATGAAACTATAAATAACTATAAATAAGTCGAGTAGGTATCATTCAATGCGGTGCCGACATCACATTTGCATGAGTCCGTACTAGACACTCGACTGCATCATATGTTCTCCATTCACGTCGAGTATTTATTTGTACCTAGTCTATAAAATCTGCCTAGTATTTGGTTGAAGTCCCCGGGACTAGTCCCGACTAGTCTCGAGTATTGACAGACAAAGATAGAAAGACTGCGGAATAGTGTAGTTAAACAAAGGACAAAATATCTTGCACAACACGAGTACGAGTCGTGTTACTTTTATGCACATTGAAATATAGTTCACGAATGATTTAGGCAAACACGAGTAAGCGGCAAATCAGACTAGTAACTATTGCAACAAAATGCTATCTCGCTTTGCCGCGCCGGTACTACTACTTTTTTAATTCGAGCGGGCCGCCGCGTTGTGCCGTGCGACGCGTAGGCACAGTGAGAATAGGTAGATCAAGTATCTTAAAAGTTGGAACAGGTGCAACCTAGTCTCGTTTAATACCTAGTGCCTAGATCTGTTCTAGTATATACGCTTCATCGCTTATCACCAACACCAATACTATCACTTGCCACCACCTGTTTTCGTTGACTTACAGACTTAATAAATGGATGTCTCCGTAATAAATGGTTGCGTAAATTTGTTGTATTTCCGCATGTTTTGACTACGATATGACAATACTTGCATAAGCCACTCGATCCTTTTTTTACAAAGTGATTCCATGTATCACTTTTAGTTGATATTTCAGGCTGAAAAGAACAACAATACTTTAACAAATGTGCAAACTGCAACGTACATTTCTCGATAAATCGGTTTGAATCTAATCACTCCCTATTTATCAAATTGAAATGAATGCTACACGAACACAATACTGGTTATTTCGTTAATATAAACCGCTATAGAATATTTAATTACAGTATCTAGGTATTTACAAAGTATTCTGCATGTGCTCACAGCTTACAGTATGTATCGGTATGTATATTGTATATTTTTGATAATAATTTATAATCCTCAGGTTCATAGCACAGATTAGGTTAAACCGTTAGACGCCGGGATTCACAGGTAAGATTAGATTTAGATTAGAAATGAAATGACAACTTTTTTATCGTTACGATAATTAAAATTTAAAATAATATCTTTGGATGCGTTTAAAATAACGATATCTTTGGATGCGTTCAAATAATGAACCAAGTACGACCGATTGTTTTTGCGTCCGCCAACAAAAAATTAAAAAACTAAGATACCGCAGCCAGTTTAGAAACTTTATGGCTAATTATTGAATGTGATGAAACGGTCCGATTCAAGGAGTTTTTGGATCGATTCATCGAATCGATGTGGTGTTCCAAATCGATCTGAAAAATCGATTATTTTACTCCATAAAATCGATTTTTCGATTAATCGATTTTAGATCGACATGCCTAACAATGTCATGTTACAAATGTCAATTGTTGTCACGCGTTCTGACTTCTGATCTTTTGTGTAAAGAATTATCTATCCTGTATTTTGATAACATTTCCTTGGTGAAATAAACTTAATGTATCAATAAAGCTTTATAACACTACCGAAATCAACATTAGTGTTTAAGATGATAAGTGACGACGATCGTGATATTGATATTGAAAGTGATGTCCGTATCTTTTTGTGTTAATTGACCGTTGTTTATCCTTCGCGTCTACTATCAACTGAATTTGGTTTGATTTTTTCATTTCAGGCGGAAAATGATTCTGATTCGCGAACCCACGCAAGAAATAGTCTCGGTGGAAGTGGTTACTATTCTCAGGTATAAAAAAATTTAATATTTTTGAACGAATTGTTAGTATGGAAGTAGCAAAACTGAATTGATTACATTGTGGTGGCTGCGGTAACATCATCACATATCATCTCGTGCGTGATGTTAGAGGCGATAAAACAGGAGATGGGCAGCAGCACCTTTCAATAACAACTCAAAATAATTAAAAATAATCTGTGGCTGCCAACCTGCTTGCCAAGCGTGACTACTATGACAGATACAATATGAGGAAATCTATGGGGAAGCCCTATGTTCTCCCTGTCCTATGTCTAGGCTGTAATTACTGGATAATGGAATCTTACTATATGATTTTAGTATATTGTGCTATAAATAAAGAAACTAATGTATCTATATCTATACTAATAAATAAAATTGAAGTGTCTCTTGTAATGTCAAAATAACAGCTATGTATAAAATGCATATGAAAGTATATATGGTACTTTAAACATAAACAGTATTCTTAAAATTTTAGTCTGTCTGTCTGTTTGTACCAGCTAATCTCCAAATGGCTGGACCAATTTTGATGGGCCTTTCACTGGCAGATATCTGATGTTATCAGGAGTAATCTAGGCTACTTCTATTTTAGAAAAAATAATTAGGGTTCTGTACAAAAAATTTAAATCCATGAAATGCAATCGTAATAAATTTCACACTGGAGAAGTCGCAGGGAATAGCTAGTTTTATAATAAACCAAACATATATTTGTGTGTTTTAGGCAGAAAAGCGAGCACACCATAATGCTTTGGAGAGGAAACGAAGAGACCATATTAAAGATAGTTTCACATCACTGAGAGAATCTGTTCCTGCATTGCAAGGAGAGAAAGTGGTATGTAATGTAATTTCTCCAACTATCAATTATAATTTAAGGTGTGTGTTGTGTCAATGTTAGTATATTGACAAAATTCTGCTGTTTGACTGGTGCATGTATAGAAATCATATCTAGTATATACTTTCACCGTCCGGTTTTCAGACACAATAGTAAGACAATAGCAATGACCTGTATGTAGTGCGCGGGACAAGGAAAGAGTTAAATTCAGTAAAAAAATTACATTTACACAGTAACTATGTGTCAATTGTTGAAAAAGTATTTTGTGCTTTTATTTTAATTTGTATATTTGTTGATAAACTGAGACTGTTTGTCATAACACTTCACATGTAATGTTTAAGGTTGGTTTTTTACAGGGTAGATAAGAATTCAAGCTGTGATAAATTGCAGTGTTGGTTTTTACAAAATCACTTGTTTATACACTTATTAGCAAAAGCTTGTGTTTATGTAGTCTTATTTATGATTTTATATGGTTTTTATCATATAGTTAACATTTATTATATAGTTAACAATAAAATTATTGGTTCTTGGGCATTAATAAATAATTTTTCACTTGGTTTGTCTATAAAGTTACATATTGTTTAGTTTCTTGTAAGGTATAGTTTTTTTTTATTATAAGGGTGACAAACGAGCACACAGTCCACCTGATGGTGAGTGGTTGCTGTGGCCCATAGACATCTACATCTATCCACGTTTGAGAATCAAAATGCAGATGCGTTGTCACCCGTGAGGACTAAGATGGAATGTCTCATTTCCAGTAAAAAGGGTCGCCGGTTCTCTACACCCACCATACGAAACACAGCAGCGTTAAGCCGCTATTTTATGCTGGTATTCTGTAAGAGCGTGGTCCTTCCCTGGTTGAGCTCACCCATTAGTGCTACAACTATACTATTAATATAGCTGCAGCATGGCTCTATCACATATAAAATAGTTAGTACTAATTACCTAATTAGTACTATATATTATGATAATTAGTATTATAGGTATCTCAGTGTTCAGCTTGTATATGCCATTCCAGAAATTTCTATTAAACTATCTAAGAAAGAAACTTTTTTTTTAATATTTAAAATTTATGGTTCAACTAAAAGGCATAACAAATTATTAGAGATGTAATAACTGTTTTTTTTTAGACTAGTAAGACATTTTAAAAATGGTGCTTTCAAGAACTTTAATTGACATCTTAAAGAATAAAAAAAAATACTTCCCATTTTATATTTTTACCCAAATAAATGAATTTCAGCATCAAGTACTACAGATGTGAGGTTATTAACATCTGTAGTAATTGACGCTTATTTTAACTATATCAAATGTAAATCTTTTATCATCCATGTGAATTATGTCACTGTGAAAAACATCTACAACAGACAGACTTCTAGATGATATTATAAGTGTTTCTTTATTTGGATAATTTTGGCACAAATTTCTAAAAAGAGGAAAGAGGAAGAAAAAAGAAGGGAGACATATTTTGTGTAACTAATAATATGTATTTGTTGGAATGAAATCTGTTAAAGTATGCAATAGTCCTTTTAAAAAGTTTTCAAAGGAAAGTCATACCCATAACAGTTTACTTATTGGATGTTTGTCGTATATATATATACATTTGGACAATTGTGGAGTGATTACCACATGGAAACATTAATCTCAGCAAAGTTACACAATGAACTGCTGGACTGCCGACTGAGGCCATCGAATTCGAAATAATATGTAACTTATAAAACTAGTACTGGAAGATGCGCTTCTAAAAACAGTTATCTCTATTAGTTATTACTATTATTTTAAGTATCTTGCTCCACTATTTTAGCCTCCAAAAGTCAACAAGATCGGGTCTCGGGATCTGGAAGATAAAGATAATGTTTGCTATTGCTTTTTTATATCTACTATGTGATAGAGCCACGCTGCACCTATACTATGGTATTAATGGGCCGGCTCGTCTGGGGAAGGACCACGCTCACAGAATATCAGCGTAAATTATTCTTTTTGTATAAAGCCTTGTGGCGAAAAACATATTCTGATTTTGGAATGCATTGTCGCTGGAAATGAAACAGCTGTTGAACACTTCGAGCCTGTTGTGAAAATTTCTTAGTTTTAATTTACCAGAATCGGCCGAAGAAGTCGATAGATACGATTTTTTTGCATAGAGATACAATTACTTCAGAAAATTATGTTTTAACATTAGAGAAGCTAAACGAAGCAATGGAGACAAAAGGGAACCAGATCTTTTCTAGACCCCTAGACCCCATTTATCTTTTTAAATCTAAAACAAGTGGTAAAATTAAAAATTTTGTATGATTGACTTCAATATAAATTACTAAGGACAACTCAAAATCTACTTGTCAGACCTTGATCAAATTTATATGGGACCACATATGATGCACTAGCTTTGAAATAAAAAATCGGTTTACCGATAAAAAAGTTATAAGGTAACACACAAAAATAACATACAGTCGAATTGAGTATCACCTCCTTTTTGAAGTCGGTTGAAAAGAGTTAAGCATTAGACATTTCTTGGATTGTAATAAATTCAAGTAGAATTAGTAGTTTTGACGCATTTTGACTAGGTAGGTTTTTAAAAATTATTTTTTGTGGTTGAGATAAGATGATTTCATTAAGTAAAAAATGTATTAAGCTAAGTGAAGATTAAATTGAATAAGAATAATAGTTTGGGTGATTTTATCCATTTTAGTACTCTTCTTTCCCCAGAATTTAGGAATTAATGAACTTAAAGTAAATCTTTTAACTATAAAGTTCTTATAATTTATTACATTTTTGCAAAACAAGGCATTGAAATTTTAATTGGCAAATGTTGACTTTATTATATAATTTCCAATGTACTTTTTTCCAGGCTAGCCGTGCACAAATTTTAAAAAAGGCGGCGGAGTATATCTCGTTTATGAGGCGGAAAAACAACATACACCAGCAAGACATTGATGATTTGAAAAGACAAAATAATTTGCTGGAGAGTCAAAGTAAGTAAATAGAAAGCACTATGTACATTTTTTGCGAAAAGATAAATCAAGATTATGATTTCTTATATTTACGCGCACTCTACACATTTAAATAAAACTAATTTTACGGATTTTATCGCGTAGGTATATTAACTTATTTTTATATTCCCGACGTTTCGGGTGCTTTCCAGCACCCGTGGTCACGGGGGACTGAGTTGTTTGACGTCCTGCTGTCATAGTTAGCCCGGCTACCTTCAGTTTTTTAATATTAATTTTTGGTTCGATTTACACAGAATGAGCTTACAGAATCATGAAGTCTTGCAGTTGTATGCTAGGGTTGAGATTTAATTTTATTAATTATGGGATCCCAAGCAGATGGTAGCACCCAGCCATCTTCTCTATTGAAATTAGGATGTTTTTTAATTTCGATAGCCTCGCGAATCTTCCTGGGGAGGAATCGGTGTTCTTTAGCGAGGATTAGTGGTCTATCAAATCTAATGTAGTGACGGGGGCGATCCTGTACGTGTTCACAGACTGCAGACTTCCCGGAACGTCGATTCTTCACATCAGCTATGTGTTCTTTAACGCGAGTTTTTATGGATCTTTTAGTTTGTCCTATATAAGAGAGACCACATTCACAATCAAGCTTGTACACTCCTGCATCTGGCAGAGGAATATTACACTTGACTGATGGTAAACCTGACTAATCTTCTTCAGTGGCTTGAAGTATGTTTTAAAGGAAGCACGCTTCAAGATGTAACCAATCTTGTCAGTGACACTTCTGACATATGGCAGTACAGCAGGCACTCGCTCGACTGTGGCCGGCTTCACTCGTTCACTGTGACATAGGCGCGGGATCCGAAGCTTATTGTCGTGCAAAACTTGCTTGACGTGTTGGAGCTCGGCGGCCAGGTGTTTACTGTCACAGATCCCTCGTGCTCTCTGAAACAAAGATTTACCCACGGTAGCTAACTATGAACAATGGTGGTGAGAATCACCGTTTAAATATCTATCTGTATGGGTCTTTTTTCTATACACAGTGTGGCTCAAGGTGTTATCAGGAGTCCGAATTACTAACACATCTAGAAAAGCTAAAGAATTATTTGCCTCTAACTCCATAGTGAACTGAATTTTAGAATTTAAGGAGTTAAGATGGTCTAAAAATGCAGTTACTTTATCTAAAGGTAGAATTGTGAAAGTGTCGTCTACGTACCGCTTGTAGAAGCTTGGGTTTACAGGAGAAGTAAGCAGGGCTTTCTCCTCAAAGTCCTCCATAAATATATCGGCGAGAATGGGAGATACAGGTGAGCCCATCGCCACTCCATTTACTTGCTTGTAAAACTCCTCCTTCCACAATAGGTAGCCAGATGTAAGGCAGTGTCTGAGTAATACTGCATATTCTACAGGCATGTTATTTTCCTCTAGTCTTCTAGTAACAATCGAGATGCAGTCCTCAACAGGTAAACATGTGAACAGAGACTGCACATCAAAACTGACCATAGTTTCATTGTCTGCCCGATGTAGGTCTTTAATCTCGCTGACAAAATGGTAGGAATCCTTTGTGTGTGCTCTTGTATGTCCCCTGAACGGTGAGAGTATATTCGCTAAGTGTTGAGCCAATCTGTAAGTTGGTGAATCGATTTGGCTCACTATGGGATGTAGTGGAGCATTGGGGTTGTGTATTTTTGGTAACCCATACAACTTCGGTGGTTTTGCACACGTAGGTAATTTAATTTTTCGGAATGTTTCTTTATGAGATCACTAGTTGTTTTAAGTGTGTTATTTGTTGGGTCATTTTTAACCTTTTTATATGTACTTACATCCGACAAAAGTTCTTGTATTTTAGAATTATAATCCGACGTATCCATGACTATCGTGGCATTTCCCTTATCTGCGCGGAGAATCGTAATTTCTGGTTTATTGCGTAGGTTATTCAACGCTTTAAATTCATCTTTGGGTAGATTCGGTATTGGCGCTGAACTTCGACGTAACATAGACGAAATGTCTTGCCGTATCGTCCAAATCTTCCTTTTGGATATTGTTTTTAAATAAACAGTCCTCAACACTACAGATAATTTCCTCGTACGGTAATTTTTTCGGTGTTAAAGCAAAATTAAAGCCTTTCGATAATACTCTAATTGTTGCATCATCCAGAGTTTGTTTTGACAGATTATAGACCGCGCTTAATCTATGATCCGCGTTCGTAGTCAACGGTTGCGTTTCGTTCTCACGTTGACACAGATGTTTGACATTTAATTTGGTCGTTAATTTTTGATATTTTACTATATGTTTGTTTTTGCATTCGTTATATTTATTAATTTCTCGTTTATTTAACGTTTCAATGCAAACATTATAATCAAATGTCGTTAAAACTGCCTTTAACTCACTGAATGATGTGTATATGGATTTGTTTATGGTATGTAGATCGGAGCGTTTTTGTTGGATTACTGTTCGTAACAACTTTTTACTTGCCTGATTTAAGATCTTAGCGCTTCCTCGAATGTCCTTTTTAGTGGATATTTTGACACACGTAGGAATGAGATTGTGGTCGCGGCACCTCTTCAAGAAAATCAGTGATGTTAAATATCTTGCGCGCTTGGTCATGAGATCTTCTAATCGGCGAATTTTATTTGCAATTACCAGTCCGTACTGGTTTACATAATGATTTCTTATATTTACGCGAATACTACACATTTAAATAAAACTAATTTTACGGATTTTATCGCGTATATTTATGTGTGTGTTACGGATATTAACGTCGGGTATATAAAATAAGTTAATATACGCGATAAAATCCGTAAAATTAGTTTTATTTAAATAAATCAAGATTATTAAAATATTTTTTTTCCAATTTAAATTAAATCATAATGCACCTTACGTCCGCGTGCGAGTGGCTGTATCACTTAGCCCGTTACGCGCCTTTGTTAAGACCGCTTCTACTGTAGGGTTAGGTATTGTGAGAAAACAAATTGAATCCTTTGATATTAGTTGGTATATATTAGAATATACTTACCCAAATATTATGCAATGTATTAATATTTCTCTTTTTTTAATTTGGTTAAAAAATACCCCACGATACAGGATTTTCTCCTGTTTCGTGGAGGCAGTTAACAAACATAAATTGCACAAGGACAAACATCTAGACCCAGAACAATTATTTGTAGGCCATACAAATACTTGTTCCATGTGGGATTCTAACCCGCGGCCCCAGTGTTGCAACTCATTGCTAAGCCACTGCGCCACGGAGCTCTCAATTTGCTGATAATAAAAACTTTATTGATCTATGTGAGGAAAGTTAATATGCAACATCGAGGAAAATTATAACAACGTGAACGTCTTTGAAACTCAGATAATTTACCTATTTACCATTGAATAAAACTATTTTTACGGATTTTATCGCGTTTAATTAACTTATTTTATATTCCCGACGTTTCGGTTGCTTTCTAGCAACCGTGGTCACGGGGGACTGAGGTGATCGACGTCCCGATGTCAGAGTTAAACCGGAGTACCTTCAGCTTTTTTAATTAATAATTTTGGTCCGATCTACGCAGAATGAACTAACTGTGTCTTGAAGTCTTGCAGTGGTATGCTTGGGTTGAGATTTAATTTTATTAATTACAGGATCCCAAGCAGATGGTAGCACCCAGCCTCCCTCTCTATTGAAATTAGGATGTTTTTTAATTTCGATAGCCTCACGTACCATCCTTGGCAGGAATCGGTGTTCTTTAGCGAGAATTTGTGGTTTATCAAATCTAATGTAATGGCGGGGGCCGTCTAGGATATTTACCATTTTAACAGACTTCAACAAAAAGAGGAGGTACTCAATTCGACTGTTTTTTTTAATGTGTGTTACCTCAGAACTTTTTTCTAGGCAAATCGATTTTGATGACTCTATTTTTATTTGAAAGCTGGTGCTTATAATTTATACATCCCATTTTGATTAAGATCTGACAGTCGTTTTGGAGTTATCCTTAATAACGTGTATTAGTATTGAAGTCGGTTGTACAAAATGTTAAATTTCATTAGTTGTCTCTCTTCCTCTCTTTTTAAAAAACGTTACCTCCATACTAGGATTTCCTCCTGTATCGCAGGGACAGCTTATATACATAGAACAGACCCAGAACAATTATTTGTAGGCCATACAAATACTTGTTCCGTTCAGGATTCGAACCCGCGGCCCTTAGCGCTGCAACTCATTACTAAGCCACTGCGCCATGGAGTCATCAATTGTCTGTTTCACCTCTTTTGCTATTTACAAACATGCGACACGCGAATTCATTATAAATGAAAGAGTGGCAATGAGAGACCCAAGTATTAAACTAATAACCAGTATATGCTGATCTTGCTTTAGTAGGCAGTCACTAGTATTGGGAGGTCTACTTACACTGAACGAATTTTTAAGGTCATTGGTATTATTCGCGAATACTCGAAAACTGCAAAGTTGTGGTCGGGTCGCTGATCAAATAATAAATCTGTAACTATGGCGTCAGTAACTAAGTACCTAATTATCTAGATCTAAATGTAAATAATAATATATTACCTTTCGGTATTCTTAGGAAACAGTAAAGAATGAAAAGTAGACATTCCTATTATTTAAGCACCCGTATGATATGCAGTACCTTTTGGTTTTTTGAGAGGCTATACTTGAATAAAAACTCGAAAATAAATACCAAAAGTACCTAAATACTTATTAGGAAAAATAATTTTTATGTTAACGTAAGACGCGCGTCAGCTCGAGCGGGCGCGTGCGCGTGACAACCTCACGGAATTAACCTCATGTAGACGGCCGCGCAGCGTTGGTATATTTTCATGCTTAAAGCGCAGAGTGAGACAGGCCTGCCGTAACTAAATATGTGAAGAAGTTACAATAATAGTAAATACGAGTATACACCTCCTCACATACATATACTCACCCTCGCACATATACCCACTTACACAACTCTGCACAGTGGCTAACCATTATCCCAAGACAAGTCGAAGGGCACAGAAGGACACACACACACACACACACACACACACACACACACACACACACACACACACACACACACACACACACACACACACACGCACACGCACGCACACGCACGCACGCACGCACGCTCGCACGCTCGCAAGAATCCCAATGCAAATTACTCTTTCGGGCGTCTCAAAAACATGTATGAATAATTTTTGAGAATTAAGAGTTAATTTTATTGTTATGGCGGATGATGCGGTCGGTATCGAGGAGCATCGCCTTCTGCATTCTGCCGTCACCTCAGATGACCTGAGCAGCTGATCGGGATTGACCTCTTTGCAGAAATGACCACAAGAATAATTTCGGCCGGCAGACCACCCTACATGTCGGTCACCTCGTGAGCAAGGTCTAGATATTTAGTCTGCTTATCTGTTTTGGCTTTCACGAGGGTTTCGTCATAAGGAATGGTGATGTCGACCAAAATATCCTTGACTGTGCCCGGTCCACCAGCACAATATCAGACTTATTCGCAAGAATAGTCCTGTTTGTGATAATGACCCGGTCCCAGTAGAGCCAGGCAAGTACTTATAATAAAGCAGTTTCCGAGACTGTATTTCAGAGCGAGCGTCTGGTGTAGGATCTTGGCTACTAGGTTACGTCCGTGCAAATACTCAGAGTTAGAAAGCGCCGAACAGCCGGAGATGACATGCCTAAGTGACTCGCCGGGATGGCGACAAGCTCGACAGTATCGCACAGACAAAACCTTCGGTCTCTCCAAAGAGGTCACCGAAACGTAGCCAGTTGACGGAGACGACTGTATCTACGAAATGCTCATGAAGAGCCCTTTGGAACCACCCGTAGAGCTCTTTCTCCTTCCATACGGTCTCCCGGTCGGAAATGCTCTCTACTGCCGGGTCTTGGCATTTCTCTTTGGCTAAGGATAGAGCTGTCATCATCCGATCTCGTCAGGTAGTAATTACGGAGGCTGCACACTTTGCGATTATGCATGGTAAGCGCGCTTAAAAAGCCGCACCTACCATGTTTCCGCGGCAAGTACAGCTTCATTACTCATAATCTCGGGTAATGCATCCTATGGGACGTCATGGTAGTGATGTTGTATTCTAGGGCGTTAAGTTCAGTTTGAGTCCAACTAATTATGCCAAAAGTCCCTCTATAAGGTACTGCTAGGGTTCAGAGAGAGGCAGAACCAGATTGGACTTAAACAATCGACCTGGATTTTGTTATTATTATTATTAAATGTTATGTATAGTGAAATTTGATTGATGATATAAAAGTAATTTTCTTATAACAATCGGACCGTGACCACAAAAACATAAAGTTATTCAGATTTGAAAGATTCTTTCTTGTAGCAGAAGCCCTATTATTCATGTTATATAAACAAAAGCATTTTGAAAAAAAGTGAAGTTAGATTTTGGGATTAGTTGTTATTGGTTTAGAATTCTTTAATACCTGAAATAAAATAAAAAAAAATGCCTCTGGATCATAATTTTTGCCAGTTTGTGGGTTGGATCATTTCTGCACAACACGGTCCAATTAGTAATAACGTATATTAATAACTAGCTGGTCAAGCAGACTTTGTACTGCTCATTCCGATGACCCTTTGTCCTTTCAAAATCTTATAATTGCGATAAAAAAATATTGATGGTCACTTATTGGGATAAGAACTATCCTATCTCTCAAGTTGCAGCAAGTAATACACATTTACAAAATTTCATTAAAATCGATTGAATGGTTTCGGAGTTCATCGCGGACAAACAATGTGACACGTAATTTTTATATATAAAGATTATCTATAAGTTTGTCTTACAACATCTATTCGTAACTTGCATGTAGATATTCTGAACTATCATTTTGCAGATATCTTTATTTTAAACTCTAAACTACGTTCATACATCTGAATAGCAAATAAAGTTTTAATCAAAAATGTTTATATCTTTATTATTATAGTCAAAGCATTGGAAAAAGTTCGAGCTACAGGAAATTACATGGACGCCCATGAGCTAGGACTTGGGATCAAATCAGAAGGTAGTTCCCATGACACTGATAGCTCTGATGGTGAAGGTACCACCCGGCGAGTGAAGAAATTAAAAATCAATGGAGTCAATGTGTAAATTTAAAATAATGTTGTAAGCAATAATCTGACGAAATCCTGACTACATTATCGACTACTACTAAAATAATAAATACTATTATTAAAATTAAAACAAAACTATAGCAGCAATAACAATTCTTATAATCAATATTGCTTGCTAAGGGACTAAACTATCTCTGATTTCGTTCTTGTTCTCTGTGTAATTACAACTTAAATAATAAGTGTTGCTTTATTTTGAATCTTCTGGATAATCTAAAAACTAGATTGCGGTGAACTTCTTTGTTTCACGAGTGTTTGTTTTTGTTTTATGAGTATTTTTGTACTCAGTTTGTATGGACAAAAAGACAATACTATCATAGTATTTGACTTATATGTCAGTTGTTTGTAAATACTTTTTATTGACATTAAAGTAACATGAAATAAAGTTTTGTAGTATGGTATTTTTCGCAGTATCGTATTCATTTTGTTGTACACATGCAAGAGTTTGCATTTTTTTTGTTATTTTAGTTAAACGGATTGTAAGAATATTCAATATAAAGAATAGGTTAAGATTTAGTCTTCATGAATAATTGGTCTTTATTGTGTTTAATACCTATATTCTACTATATCTCATTATAATTGTTGTTTGTGAAATAATAAGTTAGTGTTGTCAGGTCAGAACGCCGGAATATTCGGAGAAAATTTCGAAATGGTTTTTGGGGTTGTGATCGGAAGCAATAAATATTATGAAACAACATTTTTACCTTATCTATGTACTAAAGTGTTTTAATTACATAGATATAGTTTATTATTTTATATGTATATTATTGTCCATTGTTTAATAATAAATAATTTTAAGATCAATCAAACACTTACTAAAATTAACTCTCCGACCTTAAATTATATTTGTTTCTATAAGTATTTTGTATTTTTTTCTTGACTTACTGGTTAGGCTTCTTGAAAAGTATAATATTACATTTATATTGTACATAAATTTTATTGTAAAATTGTTTTTCTGGTAATTTCTGTGTTTTGTCGGGAGGCTAAAGATGTTCAAATTTTAAAGACTCCTGATATTCTGTTCATCTATCTGGTAGCCTTAATTTTTAAATGTTAGCAGAAACAAAATTTGAAAGTGTTTTAGCAATATTTTCAACTGATTCAGCACTGAGCTCGACACAAGGCATGTACTTACCATTATTATTGCTTGCCTCCTTAGTCTAGTGGTCATAAGCGCGATTGCTGATCACAATATCCCAGGTTTGAATACCGGGTTGGGCAAAACTGGTTAGTAGGTTTTCCTATCAAGTTGGCGGTTTTACCCCCGTGCTCCTGAAATCATGTGAAGCAGTTGTTCCTGCGCCTAATTTCTCTCCGGTCGTGCTCGATTGTCGTACCATCTTATATTGAGAGAGAGGGAATAGAGACTTGAGAAACTCGGCATGGATGACATTATTATTATTATGAAATACCATTAAGTTTGTATGCAATGAATGGCTTAATTATGTCAGTGTAATATATTTTATAGATGTAATTTTAAAAATAAACACTATGCAGACTCTTTGTGACTACGTCTATATTTGATGTTTGATCACTTATTTTCTTGAAGACTAAATAAAAAAAATAAAGGTATTAAATACTCTGCAATGTTAGTTTTATTTATTAACAAGCTACACGAGATTTAAATTTCTTTGATAAACAACAATCTACTTTATATAGTTTGTGAGTTTTCGGGTTTGGGTGTGTTGTAAGACTTCACCCGTGTCACGGACAGCAGACAACCTAACATAGCATTGGAGTTGAGATGGCCCGTAATGATGATAATGATGATTAGTTTCACGTTTCACGTGCGAGGCAAATAATTCCGCGTAAATCGCACGGTAGTTGACTGCCAGCCATCGAGATGATGAGGATGGAATTTCGATGTTCATATCTCAGAAAGAAGATCAGCGAAAGGGAAATGCAATATTAGCTTAAACGTGAGGTCTCAGTGGCAAGCGTCTTGCATGGTGGGGTGTTGGACATACAAACGACAACAAATAACACAAAAACTCTTATATTTTTTTATTACATTGCAGTGTCCCGAGTGGCGGGTACTCGAATATATCCTGCGAAAGTCATGTAGCGTAAGATAATCCATCACTTCTTTCGTCATTTTCGTTCCGTGGGTGTTGTAAATGGCGACTACGGGATATTCCAAAAAGTTTCTTTCAAAGAGTGACAAAGCAAATTTATGTTGCAGAGGTGAACGGCATAGTCGGGAAGGGTCGCCCTAGGCGAAAGTTTATCGACCAAATTGGCGATATATTAAAAATGGGCCAAATCAAGAGTACCTTTAACCGACGAGCGTGTATGCGTAGGTATATGGATGTGGAGGAAGCGAGAGAGGTGTGTCAGGATCGTGCCAAATGGAAGTCCATAATCTCTGCCTACCCCTCTGGGTGACAGGCGTGAGTGTTTATGTTATGTTATGTTTTATGTTTCTTTCAGTTTCCGATAGATGGCGGTATTAATCATCTCGTGTCAGCCAGACGTAAAATATCCAGACCACAGAGTACATTATTGACCCAGACCGACGAAGGGGTGCAGCGTTGAAGGCATGAGAGGTCTGGTTCTGCGATTGCTAATATGCCTGCGCAACGTGGCGATTGAGGCAAATCCTTCCAACAGCGGAAAAGGTTGAACGGAAAAGACCAGCAAGTTGACATTTTTAATATCGTGCATACTTATTACATCTAATGTTACCCTTTAAATTGTTTTCCAACAATTCTGTATATCAACGATTACATAAATAAGAGATTCATTTTATTGAGCGTCATCAAAAACTTATCTACTTTCTGCAAAAAGTATTGTTGTTGGGTTTTCGTCTTTATCGCATTGGAAGAGAGCTTATAATTGTGCGACTCAGCAATATTTACTCTAGTAAAAAGGTTTGTATTATGTTTATCGAAAAACCAACTGACTATAATTTGGACAGTCGGTTGCATGCTTATGTCCCACGTTCCTAATGATATCTTGCAGCCTTGCATCAAATATTTATTATGTACTCCTAATAAAATTTATGTACGTATTTATCATGTTAAAAGTGTCATCTATTTACAGCTTTATCAGACCCAGGTCTGATGACGATGCGATTATAGCAATATAAATGACATTGGAAAATATATAGACCGCGCTGTTAAGATTCATGACTAATAATTTCACCACAAATTTGTGGTGAAATGTCTCTTATTTCTAAATAGTAGCACATTTGGAGCAGGAATAATTCCGTTTTTGAAACACATGTTTTCGAAACGTTTATTATTTCTTAGACATAAGTTTCTTCAAGATGTTTAACTTCACCACACATGGCAGATCAGCCCTTATTAAAATTGTAACAAACGTAACTCCGATTTATCCTGTGGGCGAGACAATTTACGACAATTCAGACACGTGACACTGCGATTGTCAAAATATGCCAATGTTTGTGATGACGATTGTCAATATATGCCTAATCTATATTAAATCGCTAAAATGAATCGCTGAATGTGTTGCTAAACGCAAATCTCGAGAGCAGCTGAACCGATTTCGCTAATTTATTTTTAATAATATTCCTTGAAGTACGAATATGGTTCTTACGGACAGAAAAATTTTAAAAAATGCCTGAAAATGTCTAAAAACAACACTTTTCTATATTCCCATACAAAATATTCGTAATAATACTTAAAAGTCAATTTGAACTTTAATACCATACCATAAAGTTTAAGTGTTAGTGGAGGGGTTCCGGGTAGGTAAAAAAATTAAGTGACGTTAGTATCGTATAGGGGGGAAGATCGAACGGTATTTGATGAGATGAGCAGTGTTGTGCATAGATAAGAGTGTATATACGGAAAGTGTTGTGTTTGACGTCTTGTAGAACAGTACATATTAACTTAAGCTAAAATTATATCTATAGTGAATAAACTACAAAGAGCATATTTTTATGTCATATCAATAAATCCCTGTTATATTTATTCGAAAGCAAAAAAAAAAAAAATAATTACAATGTTTTTATCGAAAGAAAAAAACAGGGGGAAAGATGAAAGATGGTGGGGTAAGATCGAAGTAGTTTCTAAAATCGTTCAAATTAATGTCAGATGATATTGACGGTCAGTAGGCTACAATTTTAATTGTCCTGACACTTCAGAACTGTCTATAATATCAAGATACCTTCAAATAATACAGATAACACAAATTATTTGTTTTTTATATTTCAATCTTGCCCCGCCGTGGAAAGGTTGAACTAGAGTTTCTCAAACTTTTCACTTTACTTGGATAAGATTATACAGAAAATGAAAGATATCAATCATATACTTTTTTTTTTATTGTTAATGCCAAGATAATTTTAAACACAATTACGTGCATGTACATTTTACCATTTTGGTCAACAAAATATGTAGCACAAAACGTAAAAAATCAAATATTTCAAAATTAAACAGCTAACCAATTAATAAGATCTTAGAAAAATGCCACAACTAAAAACATAGATAAACTTCTTAAAAATATTATCTAAACATTAATAAAAAATTTGTAGTAGATCCACGTCTACAGGTCACTGTAACACATAAATGGGCAGGGTCGACCGGTGCGATACTACCCTCTTACAGAAAATCAGCGTGAAGTGTTTAGCTTCTTAGTGGCTGCCATGTTTCGTCTGGTGAGTGAGAGTTCCGGATGCCCGTTCCTTTTCCCCTTTTCTTAAGGCCACCCGAATGTTGAAGTTTGCTAGATAAACCGATGTGACGTTGCATTGTTCTAGGAGCTGTGATATTGCATTTACTAACGAGTGTCTGGTGGTCTTTCCCCTTTCTTTAAGTTCCTATTCCCATTCCTACGAATCCTGTTCCTATACTTTATGAGAAGGCAACGCACAAGTAACACTCCTGTTGTTTCTTGTGTCTATGGGCAGCGGTGAAATCACTTAGCCATCAGGTGACCCGCTTGCTCTTTTTGCCTCTCTTATAATATACAAAAATTAAAATGAATACCTTTAGATAATATTAGCTGAAATTGTGCCGCTGA